GATGTTAGGCATGTGAAAATTTTATATTTATCTAACTTTGACGTTATTAAAAAAAATATTTACAATAGAATCATTAAATTAAAATTGTCTATTTACCAGAACACTGAAATTTGTTTGGTTTATGCTATAGTTATGCTATATATAGCGCTTTATATTGCGTAACAGTAATCCATCTCTCTACGTATTTTGCCATGACGGGGTTCGATTGCATGGATTCCCAACTATTGTAAGCAAATACGATGCGTAAATATAAGCTAATATAAACGTATTCACATTGGCTTCTGGCAAATTAGTGTGGTGTGTTAATATTCCCTCAAATATCAGAAACAACATTACAGCGACCAATAATGAACAAATCGTCTATTGTTCTAATCACAGAAAGCCTCAATCAATTGACAACAATTTTTGAGTTTTGTAGATAAACAACGACTTGAGACAAATTGTACAACCAAAGCGTTCGTCAACAAGGCTGGACAGAATTTTAACGTTATCCAGAGCAACGGATGTTCTCCAAACGTCATAAACAAGCCTTATAGTGGCAAATCAAAAAACGCCAAGACATTATTTGGCCTTAACCAAAACTTCAACAATCGAACCAACAACAAAACTAAGCAACAAACCAGCCAAACAAAGGTACTAACAATCTACTAAGCAACGACATAGCGATCCAACAACAAAGACATCAACAGTTTGAACCAAAATTTTATTGAAAAACGTTCAAGGCCTCTGCAAGTTTGTCAAAAATAGTGGCAAATATCCTACCACATGTTGGTCACTTTTATCTTAAAGATACTGGATCAGTCATGAACAATTCTGGACGAATGATTTTTTTTAATCAATTTTTTAGAAAAGTCATTCAAATAAAAACGGTTTCATGTGTTAAGAAAAATATATTTTTGCTGGTGTGAATTATTTCATTTAAAATGTGACATTCAAATATAAATATTGCGATAAAGTTCAACCATAAATAAGAAAATGTTGAATTTATTCACAATTTTTGTCACATCTTGAATATAAACGAATGAAATGAGTTAGTGAACGAATGTATAAATGAATGAATAAAAGAATGAATGATCGAATGAATAAATGAATTAGAATAAATGAATGAAAAAAAATAGATGGATTTAGCGCCTGTTCACATTTAACATTGTCAGTCAAAATAATAATGTATGCGTTTTTATATCTGTTCCTAATAAAAATGTCAAAATTTTTTTGTTTTCAAGTTTAATTTTTAAAAGTTTGAATATTTCAAAGAGTAAACTCAAAATTGTACTTAATTAGTTACTTTGTTTTTCAAATTTGTGACTCATACGAAAACATCTGTGATTTATAAACCAAACTGTTACAATTTCATGAAAAACAGTATATATATACAACTAAAAAAATGGAAACATATACTGTAATATGAAAATTGTTTTCATAAATTTTTATATTTCCAAACACGCACACAACTAAATATGACGATTTGTTCACACTTATTGTTAATTATTTCACTAGTTTAAGGACTTAAAATTTTGTGCCTTATTTCAATTTTTCTTGCTATTTTAACCAAAAAAAAACAATTTTTTGTCTTTCTTTCAAATATTAATTTGTTCATTTTACTAGCTATTTAGAAATTCTACGGTAAATATAACATATTGCAGAATATTCAACCGACTAATGTAATAAAACCTCTCTCTAATAGCGTCATAGCCGTATTTTGTTTTCAAGTAGGGCAGTTGGCGGATCAAGACAATTATGACGGAGAGGGCATAATTTTTCAAAATATTTCTCCCTGAAGGGAGTAATTAAATAAAAAGTCTAAATGTTGACCTAGGGGTCAAAATTTATTTATCAATAAAGTATATTTTGTTTCAAAACTATCAGTTTTACTTACTTTTTGTACAAATACTGCTTACTAGCCTCCTGACCCTTTCTCTAGATCCGCCAGTGAATATGAACCAAAACTTTCAATCAATTTGAATGGTTAACAAATAAATATTGGACGTAAGATGAAAATTGAGCTATAAATTAGTACCACAAAATAATAGCCGATAACATTTCTACCGCTATTGCTGATTGAAGTTGTATACATTGAATTATAATTTGAAAATTCCTCAACTTTAACAGTCGAGAAGTTGTGGCGTCTATCGTACATCGAATTTCCGCAGATGTTTTCAAAGAATTCCGGCATATATGAATTCCAGAAGTAATTGTTTTTCATGTCGAAGTGACGACGGATTGTAGTTGGTTGCGTGGATATGGTGATGTAGTGCTGGGTGGTTTTGTTGTACCTAGGCCAGGTTATGTTGTCGATTGAGTCTGGTTTGCTGTTTAAAAAAAGAAACAAAGTATTAATTATATTTTGTTATGTTAGCGTGATTAGTATCTATGATTATTTTTGATGAACTTTAGGCATGAAACGTGATTTTTTGACTGAACTAAAACAAAAACAAACGTGATTCTGGATTACTCAGAAATTTAACATATTTTTCATTAATTAAGAATCAGAGACCTTTTCTGAAATATCGAGACCCAAAGTTTCAGCATCTTCTCAGATAACTTTTGGTCTTCAACCGTGCTCTTGTTCCAATTTTTATTCCAAACATAATCTTCCACAGGCTTGTTTCCAAACGGAACCCCAAAGATGTAGTTTATATCGAAAATGTGCAAACTTTTCTCGTGCTCGAAATAGTAGTAGAAGACATCAGGGTTGGTGGCGGACAGCAAATCGGATATGAAAAGAGATGGTGCTACCATTAGAATATCGTTTTCTAACTGTATTTTACGTAATTAAACTGAATTAGCAAATTTGATTTTTATGAATTAAACTTTTTTTCTAGAATAATTAAAAATAACACGTTTTGAACGTTGTTCAAAATAGAATTATTGTCAAGATTTTGAGTTCAATTTTTGAAAATGTATTTTTAAACTTTTACAAATCATCACCCTCACCTCAGCTTGCCTGTATAGGAGTGACAAGCCTTTTTTCTGTTCAGACTTCAGCGTTGCGCTCCAGTCGATGTAGTTCAGTTTGATTGAGTTAATTATGGTAGACATTTCACCTGATTTGCAAGTTAAAACTTCATTCAGCAACTTTTCAGAACTTGATTTGAAGTCAACTTCATCCAACAACTGGTCCCTGAAAATGCCTATGAATTGTTTAGACGTTATTAAAAACTCGAATGACTAGTGTTGTAAAATGTACAGTTGTACTTAATGTGACCACGCTACATTAGACTCCTCACTAAACTTATACCCGATTATACATCCTCCATGTTACTTTGGTCCGAAATAAACTTACACCTATCCAGAATTTGTTATGAGGTTTTTAATGAGTATTTTCAATTATCAACCAGTTTTGTCGAAAATTTTTGTTAACAAACAAGTTAAGTGTGATAAAATTAATTTTTTTATTTGAAAAACTATTAAAATTGATTAACAAAGTTGCATGAAATTTGGTTAGGAAAAGGATAGTAATTTAAGAGGATGTATTTGTAACTGATTCCACCAATGCACCGCCGTCAGGTGTTTCAGATGTCTTAGAAACTTTATTAAACAAATTACAGCTAGATGAAGAAAAAATAAATGAACATTCGACGTTTTCGAGCAGGTAATATTTAGGACTACAGCGGCAAGTCTACCGGTATCAAGTGTTATACAAACAAAAGAGTTATCTACATCCCGAATAAACTAATTATAAGGCAGTTTATAATAAAAACTTTTGTTTGGCTTGCAAGTTTAAGATTCTCTCGCGTTATGCAAAAAATTAACAAATTTTCAAATCTCACTAAATTCGTTCTGAACGACGCCAGTGTAAAACGGAACCTTGTGGTACCTTCCTGCCTTGAAGGCCTCCCTTGGATGTTCCAACAGCAGCTCCATGTCAACCAATGGTCGATAATCAACGTGAAATTCTAAGCTAGATAACTAAAAAATTAAAATAGGAAAAAGGTGAAAAATAAATTAACATAAATTTATGATCTTGATTTGTTAATTTTAAGTTTTTTCACTGCTTCAATCATTTTCTTTGTTTGTTGAAATCTAATATATTTCTTATTTAAACGCACATTCAATGATGTGTCCAGCAAAATGCTCGAATTAACTTTCTTCAAACAGTTCTTGATCTGATAGACATCGTGGATTTGATCACGGCAGCCAGCTTCTGAAGCGAACGATCGTATAAACTCGGTGAAGTTCATAGACTGTTTGGTGTAGCAACTGTAGTATGCAACCGCTGACCCACTGTAGGCTATGGCTGTCCAGAACAAACCTTTTTATGGAGTGGACAGTTGTTTTATTTTACTATGCTGGGATGATTAGGAATAATTTAGACCACCAACAAAATTTTTTTTTGAGAAAAAATTAAAAAACTGAAAGTTTATTCAAACAAATAACTCAAGACCAATAATTTTCAAAACAATAACTAGAACATAAAATATTGACACTCGAACTGAAAATTTTATGATATCAAATCAGACGCAAATTAAAAAAAACTCAGACCTCGAGTTGAGGGCAGCGTCATAAGAATACCCACCAGAGCTGACCCCACACTGTGTCCAACCAGGGTGACTCTACTGGCGTCCCCACGAAACCGTGCAATGTTGTCGTGCACCCAGTTGAGTGCCATCACTACGTCACGCAAGCCGTAGTTTCCCGGCAGGATGTTGTCAGCTGCCGTCAGAAAACCTTGCAGACGATGATGATGGTGACTTAATTAGTTTTATTTGCTCGTCAGCAGTGAATTAAAAATAATTAAAATCAAATAAATCACTGAAAGGAAAAAATTTTTTTTATAATGCTGCTGAAATGTTACCAAAAACGTCCAATCTGTAGTTGATCGTGACCACAACAACTCCCATCATCGAGACGACCTTCCCGTTGTAAATATGACCTGACCCACTTATGTAACTGCCTCCGTGGATGTAAAATACAACAGGGTACCTTTTCACCGGATCAGAAATCTATCAGAAATAATAACAATAAATATCTTATCATATCTGGAGAGTTTTTATTATAGATGCTTGGACGCAGCTAAGCATTTGCGAAAAGGTAAAAAATTGTTTTTTGAACTAATTTGCCACATGTAATGGGCTTTATAGCAGCTTACAATTATTTGCTTCTTTTAAAATTTGGTTTTGTTGAAAAATTTTATAAAAAAAACTTCCCCGCAAAATATTCCTGGCTACCACTCTGTTCAAATGCACTCAAATAAAAAAATGATTGAATTTCAGTTAAATTTCATAAATTTTATAGACTCTTCCACACACAGTTCATAAGATAGACGGAGATCTGTTCGCATTTGAAACCAATCAATGCAGCGACAGTGCCAGGCATCTTAACCATTACACCATCAGGCTTCGCTAACCTCGTACGGCGTGAAAATGTTGAGATAGAGGCAGTCTTCGCTTTGGTTTTCATAGAAAGATGGATCAAATGCCTAAAATTTCGTTCGCGTTCATTAGATTTTTTCAAAAAATTATTTTACAAATATAAATACACAACGATAACAGTGGGCGTCGTCAATTAAAATTTACGTCATATTTATAAAATAACGTCATCATTATCATAATTTCTTCTTTCTTATCATCATCATCATCACCATCACCTGCACGCAGCTTGGTTTTTTTTCTTTAGCGTTCAAAACACCTGACCATTTTTTGACTGGTTGAGGAGCCTGGTGGTGATGACGATGATGATGTTGATGATGACGTTGAGGATGATGATAATGATCATTGCACTTTCGAATACTCTTGTGTTTAAGCATCACAATTAGCATGTTATAGCCGGTGGGCCTTTCTTGTATTTGAACACGGTCATTGCAAGAGCAGAATCAAGCGACTTAACTATTACAATAGCTTGCCAGTATCATTCTACCTCGAATCTCAGATCTCCAACTGGTGGCTGCGCGAATGGTATTCCATAAAATCGATCGTACCACGTCGTCCCTTAGAGAAATAATTTGTGATGGAGGAAATTTTTCATACAATATTATTTAAAATAATTAAATTTTGTAATATTTTATTCCATTTTTTAATAATTTTATAAGCGTCATCAGTTCGATGAACAAATCATGATCATTTATCATATAAAAGAGTTTAAAAATTTATAAAAAGACAAATTTTTTTCATATCTTAAAATTTAACATCCTTGTAATTATATACACATCAGGAATTCTATAATAAACTAAAAAATCGCCCTCAACTTACGTGTAGTTAAGTTTTGGATTTTCTCATAAAATCTAAGGCCCTCTACTATTCCACCCTTTGTTTCTACTCTAACCGTCTCAGAGTATCCCAAAATGAAGTCGCACAAGCTGAACAACATTATGGCGATAATTGTAAAACGAGCTTTAAGACGAACGTCTTTCAAAGAAGTTTTCATTTTTTTGAGAATTTTTATATTATTTATTGTTGTTGTCAATCTTTTGAAACCACGCAGGCAAACAAGAGAGCTGCAAGTACAAATTTTGTTCCTTACAAAACAGTTAGCAGGTTAGCAACACTTAAAGAATTGAAATTAGAGGTTTTAAAATATTTTCTTACAATTTATTTGAAATGACCTCAAAAAGAATTTTAGTAATTCATAAGTTTTTTTAATTAAATAAAATTTGAATAAGATTTACATTTATTTTTCAATTTAACACAAACTAATTGACGAATTCATTTTAACTGGTTGAACTCCTCGCTGTATAGCTCTATTTAACTGTTGAATGAAAATTACAAACAATATGTTTGTTTGGACTTCGAACAACTTAACATTTCAAGCTGTCTCTTTTTTCATTTTATGTTTTTGGAAATGTATGTTTTGGTTTTTCAAAATAAATTAGTTTATTTCTTCGTTTTTTTTAGAAATATTGACAACACTTGAATATTTTTGGATGATTTCTTATTTGATTTTTTAATTTATTTTTCAAGTAATTGTAATTAAATAAGTAGATAATTAATTAAGTATAAATAACAATTGCAATTGTTTTTCTTAATCAGCGGTTTTAAACTTGTGTGTCGAACTCGTTTTTGGGTTGGATGAAGATTTGCCAGGCGTCTTTAAAAACCAACGTAAAAATGACTTTGTCGCTTACATAGCATGTAACTGTGTAATAAAATATACAGTGTATATTTTTTTCGGAATTTTTAAAAATAAATTAGGTCTGCCTGTAATTATTCACCACTCGCTCTTTTTGGCACTCTTTAATTTACAAAACTTTGCCTCATTTGCCAGAAGTTTGCTGTTCTTAACAAAACTCAACCCAATTTTGATGTTGTGTTTGAAAGAGAATAAACGGAGCTTATTGGACTTGTTTAAAGTGATGCTGCAAAAAAATAATTTCTCATCAAGCACAATTTAAAATCAGATGTTTGCCGCTATGTTCAGTTCTGTTAGAGATTGATTGTGCTTTCTATCTTACTGTCTAGATGCTGGTGATTTGAAAAAGACACCTCAAAACATAAAAATTCAATGCAAATCCGTACAAATCATTTATAAATTTTTTTAATTATTTATAAAGATCACAGCGTTTTTGGCATTATTCAACTTGTAGTTGAATTTCTCAATTTTTTAACGAGACTTTTGTCAAGATGACCGAAAACGCAGTGATCTTTATAAATAATTGTATTTATGATAGTCTTAATCCAAAATGTTATGAATGAAATGTTAACACAAATTTTTGTGATCCATTATAAAGTTTCATCTACCTATTATTTTCAAACATATATCAAATTTAGATTCAATGCGATAATGATCTAAATTTAAATGTCACCTACTTATAAATAGGTGATTCACGTATCAGTTTCTATATCCGTAAGCAAAATATAAAATTTGAATTAGGTAAAAAAATTGAATGAACATGAAATCTTTTTTATTCATTATTAAATTTTATTTCAATAAATATAAAAACTCAAACGATACCTTATAAATAAAACATTTTATAGTTACAAAACTTTCTATTTGTTTGTAATTTATAGTATTCGCATCTACTTCGCCCGATAGCATCTTACCTAAAGCAGCTGTTTAACAATGGATTGATCAGTTTGTATTAGCATAGGGCATAAGGAATAAATAATCAATCAACCATTTAAATTTATAAACATCTAAAAATGTGATATAGAATATAAAAATGTAAAAGCTATATTTAAAACGTCATTTTCGTTTTTAATTGTCTGGTACGAAAGAAAAAAATAAAATCTGAGATAATTTGTATCATCAATTTGTATAAAATGAACAAAGCATGAAAATTAGGTTTAAAATTAGTAACCAAGAATTGAAACTAACACCACTTTTACCGTTACTGGAAATAGTATCATTTGAATCATCATTAACAGTCGAGAAGTTGTGGCGTCTATCGTACATCGAATTTCCGCAGATGTTTTCAAAGAATTCCGGCATATATGAATTCCAGAAGTAATTGTTTTTCATGTCGAAGTGACGACGGATTGTAGTTGGTTGCGTGGATATGGTGATGTAGTGCTGGGTGGTTTTGTTGTACCTAGGCCAGGTTATGTTGTCGATTGGGTCTGGCTTGCTGTTTAAAAAAAGAAAAGTAAAGAAAAGTTTTATGAGTTGAGTTTTTAAACTGGAACTTTGTTTCAAATGTTTTATAAAATATTTTGCATATATCGTAAATTTCAAAATATTACTATACTAAAAAAAATGATTAAAACTTAATCACGGATATAGCAAACTGTTCATTAACTTAGAATCAATAACCTGTTCTGAAATATAGAAACCCAAAGTTTAAGCATCTTCTCAGATAACTTTTGATCTTCAACCGTGCTCTCGTTCCACTTTTTATTCCAAACATAATCTTCAACAGGCTCGTTTCCAAACGGAACCCCAAAGTAGTAGTTCATATCAAAAATGTGCAAACTTTTCTCGTGCTCGAAATAGTAGTAGAAGACATCAGGGTTGGTGGCGGACAGCAGGTCGGATATGAAGATAGATGGATATATCATTCCAACATCGTTGATTACCTGCGTTTTGTATGGTCATACTGAATTAACAAATTTAATTTTCATGAATCATAACAATTTTTTCATAAACTTTTGAAAGTTAGACAACTCATCTAAATTTGTCCAAAAATGAATTATTGTCTAGGTTTCAGGTACAATTTTTTGAGAAACTGTTTTTGTTTAAACTGTCTACAAATTATTGCCCTCACCTCAGTTTGCCTATATAAAAGTGACGCGCCGTTGTTTTGTCCAAACTTCTGCGTTTCGCTCCAATCGATGTAGTTCAATTTGACTGAGTTGATGATGGTAGATATATCACCTGATTTGCAGGATAGAACTTCATTTAGCAACGTTTCTAGTTTTAGTTTGAAGCCATCTGCATCCGTCGTTACACTATTAAGAAAGCCTGCAAATTGTTAAGACCTTACTTAAAACTCGAATGATTACATTTGGTCGCAAGTTAGCGAAGTTGATAAAAGTGCCATGTCTCGTGCGGCTACGCGATGGTCGGGTTCAAATACTGTCGGTCCAAAACTCATAAACTATCATACTCCAAGTGCGTATGATGCGGTGCTTGCGAGTGTGTATTCACGTCGTTTGGCGTGGATAGTACAGTCTTTGCGAAACTAAGGCTTAAATACAAGGAGAATACGTAAGCGGTTCTGTCAGTCAAAGCTGCATAATAAAGAACAAAAAGAAAGCTGTTATATTGGATTCTGTAATTCGTTTCCGATTATCTTTACCCAGAATGTTTCTATGTTCTGAGTAAACTTTGAATGAATCTCTTTGTGATTAACCCTGTGTGTAGATGGCATCTAATTATTTTAATTAATTGCTCGTTTTGTCAAAAAAAATTGTTTTCATGCTTTACATTTTATTTTATGTTGATTGAAGTAAACAAAATAGTTGAGTGTGACAAATTAAAATTTGAAAAACAGTTTTATTAGAGCTGCCACTTTAAAATTCTCTCTCTACATGCAAAAGAAGTTCAATAAATTTTCAAATCTCACTAAATTCGTTCTGGACGACGCCAGTGTAAAATGGAACCTTGAGGTACCTTTCTGCCTTTAAGGCCTCCCTTGGATGTTCCAACATCAGCTCCATGTCAACTATTGGTCGGTAGTCTACAAGAAAATGTGAGCTAGAAAACTTGGAAGATTTACAAAACATTTTGATAACAATTAAAAAAGTTTTTTGGAAATTATTTTTATAGAATTGGAAGATGGTGAAAAGTAAATTAATTAATTTAAATTTTAAAACTTGATTGGTTTATTTGTTATTTTTTCAAATTTCAAATTTTTTCCTTATTAAAAACTTTTAAAATCCTAATTTAAATAAAAAATTTATGATTTATAATTGAAGTTTAAACTTTGAATCCTGTGATCAACAAAGTGGTTGAATTAACTTTCTTCAAACAGTTCTTGATCTGATAGACATCGTGGTTTTGATCACGGCAGCCAGCTTCTGAAGCGAACGATCGTATAAACTCGGTGAAGTTCATAGACTGTTTGGTGTAGCAACTGTAGTATGCAACCGCTGATCCACTGTGGGCTATGGCTGTCCAGAACAAACCTTTTTATGGGGTGGACAGTTGCTTTATTTTACTATGCTGGGATGATTAGGAATGATTTAGACCACCAACAAAATTTTTTTTTTGAGAAAAAATTAAAAAATTGAAAGTTTATTCAAACAAATAACTCAAGACTAATAATTTTCAAAACAATAACTAGAACATAAAATATTGACACTCGAACTGAAAATTTTATGATATCAAATCAGACGCAAATTAAAAAAAACTCAGACCTCGAGTTGAGGGCAGCGTCATAAGAATACCCACCAGAGCTGACCCCACACTGTGTCCAACCAGGGTGATTCTACTGGCGTCCCCACGAAACGATGCAATGTTGTCGTGCACCCAGTTGAGTGCCATCACTACGTCACGCAAGCCGTAGTTTCCCGGCAGGATGTTGTCAGCTGCCGTCAGGAAACCTTCGAGACGATGGTGATGGTGACTTAATTAGTTTTATTTGCTCGTCAGCAGTGAATTAAAAATAATTAAAATCAAATAAATCACTGAAAGGAAAAAATTTTTTTATAAAGCTGTTGAAATGCTGAAATGTTACCAAAAACGTCCAATCTGTAGTTGATCGTGACCACAACAACTCCCATCATCGAGACGACCTTCCCGTTGTAAATATGACCCGACCCACTTCTGTAACTGCCTCCGTGAATGTAAAACAAAACTGGGTACTTTTTCGTTGCATCAGATTTCTATCAAGATAGATTGCAAAATGAGTCATCAACAAAAATTTGTGAGAAAATTTGTGATTTTATGACTTTATATATTATGATTTTCTATAGACGCAACATAAAGGTTAAAAAATGGAACAAAATCATTTAAAATTCAGTTTTCTTACGTAAAGCCCTTCATACTAGCTCAAAAAAGTCAAATTGAAATCAATTAGTTACATTGTTCTCGTTAAAAGTCGGTTATGTTAAAAAATTTCATTGGATAGACATTTGGTTTGACTCACCACGTACGGTGTGAAGATGTTGAGATAGAGACAATCCTCGCTCTGGTCTAGATAAGAAGATTCAGGAATCTAAAATTTTATTCGTGTTTATTCAACTTTTCAAAAATTTATTTTATGGAAACAAATTCCCAACACTTAATAACAAATTTTGACGTTTAAAATCTACATCATCGTCATCATCGCCATCATCATCACCATCATCATCACCATCATCATCATCGTAATCACCATCCTCATCATCATCATCATAACTTCTTCATCATCACCCTCGTCATCATCATCACCTGAACGCAGCTTGGTTTTTTCTCTTTAGCGTTCAAAACGCCTGACCATTTTTGGACTGGTTGAGGAGCCTGGTGGTGATGATGATGTTGGTGATGTTGATAATGATGGTAATGAAGGTGATGACGATGATGATGACGACGATGGGGATGATGATGGTAATGATCGTTTTGATGATGATGATTATGATGATTTTGATGATGATCATTATCATCATCATAGCACCCGAGATTTTTATAAGTTCAAGCATCACAAAAAGCATGTGATAGCCGTGAGCCTCTTCGCTTTCGAACCTGGTCAGTGCAAGAGCAGAACCAGGCATCTTAACCATTACACTAGCATGTCAGTATCATTTTACCTCGAATCTTAGATCTCCGACTGGTGGCTGTGCGAATGGTATTCCATAATATCGATCGTAGTAAGACGTCACTGTGAACAGATAAATTGTGGTCGAGCCAAAAATTTGGAAAAAAATTAAAATTTGGAAAAAAAAAATTTAGAAATATTTTGAATTTACAGTATTTATATTTTCACAAATATCATAAATTAAACAATAAATTAATATTCACTGTAAGCTTACGTGTAGTTAAGTTTTCTATTTTCTCATAAAATCTCAGACCCTCTAAAGTTCCACTTTTTGTATCAACGCTAACCGTCTCTGGATAAGCCGAAATCGAGTCGCAAACATTGAACGACAGTATAGTGACTATTGTTATCAGACGAAAATAAAATACTTTGTTCACCAAAATTGTCATTTTCAGTAAATTTATCGTAATCGCTGTAGTTAATGTTTCAACAAAATGTTTGCCAAACAGTGATAATTGCAGACAGCGAAACTTGCAATGTTAAGCGTCTATTTTGAAATTAAATTGGCAACAGACCGCGTTAATCGAAGAAACCACTTCGGAATAGTTAAAACTTGCGTTGGATCACTATTTATACTTTGACTTTTATAAAAATTCTTCATAAAAAACACTGTGTGTTTGGACTTTGAACGATTAAGAACACTTGAAATTATTTGTCGTTTTATTCTCATATTCTAAAGATTATTTTCCGGCTCTCCAAAGTTAATTTAAAAATTAATTTTTTTTTCATTATTTTAGAAATAAAAGCACCAATTGAAAATGTGACTCTTTTAAAATTATGCTAACTGGTTGAAAAATAAGTTGAACTCATTACTTATTCAAATTTTCATGTTTCACATGGTGCAAGATATAAACATACGTTTTTTTTCATAATTTTAAGTAGCATTAATAGAAGCAGCAGCAGTAACGACAACAATAGTTGTAATAGTAGTAGTGGTAGTTACAGTAGTAGTAAGAGTAGTAGTAGTAGTAGTAGTAGTAGTAGTAGTAGTAGTAGTAGTAGTAGTAGAATTGTTTTATCATTTTCGTTGTTGTTACTTCTCCCTTTCAAGTTAAAGCAACGAAGTTTATTGCACGTCTCATTTTCTTTAAGAATCAGTAAAATCATAGATAGCTGTGTTATTGCTTGCTATATTTGATGCCATGTGTTGGTGTGATCTGGCAAACTGATGTGATGTGAATGTATGTGTGTATGTGTGTTTATACATGCTTGTCTGTGAAAGCCGAGTGGTTTGCACGTACGTTTTTGTGTATGTGATTACATGCGTCATTCGTGTTAGGTGTGTGTGTGTGTTTGCGTGAGTGTGTGTATGTGGGTATGTTTGTGTGTGTGTGTGATTAGTATTTCAGACATGTGCCTATGTTTTTGCGCGTATGCGTGTGTTTCTTTGTCAAAATGAATATTGGATTTGGCTCTTACAATCTAATTAATTTTTTAACATCTACACTTTAATGAATATGTCTGCCAGAAAGTGATTTTGAAAACCATGTTTCAAGTACTTAGGCATTATTATTATTATTATTACACTAATTTAGATAATAAATTATTATAAAAACAATTCATAAAAATGAAGCAACATCCCACACAGACATATTTCAATGAATCTTTCAAGTGTATGGTCTTTCTAATTTCTAATTTCTAAATGCCGTTATTATTTCGACGTATTAACACACTTTCACTTAACACACACACACACACACACACACACACACACACACACACACACACCGCATAAACTCCGGGTGTCACTTCTCACTCGAAACTCGGACTAAGTATATTAACCATATAACCAACATGCCAAATCATATCAGGGAATAAAATCTTAAAAGTCAAACAGCCACCAGCGGCTCTAAGTAACAATACAACAACAATAATAATAATGGATTAGCAGATTGCAAATATGTAAGAAGATACAAGACAGAGATTACGTAACATGCCATTCAGTTCACTTCTCTCTTGCATCTTGTTACGCATTGTTTGGCACGCGGCCCTTCAACATGGTTAGGCTTACTCCAACATAATGTCAATCGTTATTTAGATTTTTTTGATCATTTTATGGATATATGTATATTGTATATATGTGTAAGTGTGTTTATATGTATGGATGTATGTCGGTGTGTATGTGCAATGGTAGGGGTATATATATATATATATGAAGAAATCTCTGGAGGAGATTGTCGTCAATCATCACTTGAGCAGTTTTTAGCGAGTGAGGTAGAGAAATAAATTCGAACTGTTGACAGGTACATTTGGTCAAATCTTATTAAAATCTGCAAAAGATAAATTGGATTGAATAAATAGTTGGACTATTTGCAGTCTGTCGATACAATTTTGAAGGTTGATGAACAAAAGTAGTAAATTTTCTTTATTTCGGAAAAGTCCAGTTGAACAATCTCGATGGACATCAAGAACGAGAACAAACTCATTGAAATTCCAGTTTTCTTTCCAGACATTCCTGGATATTTTGGAAATGGACAAATTAACGGTCAAAATCTGAATCCAAAATTGTATTTTGAAGATTTGATTCAAAAATCTAATGAAGATTTCATTCCCGAACAAAAATTTGTAGATAATGGTTTGAATCATAAAAGAAAAATACGATTTTTTGACGAGGTCTTATGTTTTGGTGAAGAAAGAGATGGCGAAAATGTTGAAAAAGGAGAAGTAAAAATCAAAAACAGTCTTGGCAATAATGACCAAAACGTGGATAAAAGCAATAATGTTCCCGCACGTTTTGGAAGCGTGCCTGACAAATCTCAGGAAGACATATCCAACGTAATCGTTGAAAGAAATCAACAGGACAATGTATACTCTTTGAATGACAAATGTGGTTCTGAAGACTGTTCTGCCAAAAACAACTACAACATTGACGACGACAACAACAATGTCAAGAGCTATCATATTGTTAACAACATTAGGATCGAGACAATTAACTTGGATGACAACAACACATCGAACAACATTTCGGTAAACACGTCTGATAGCAGCAGCCTCAAAAGCATCACGTTTGGACATCACTACGCCAGAAAGAACGAAACCTGCAACGAAGAAGTCAGTATGGAAAATAACCTCAACAACGAAACTTCAATTTGGTCTGCTAATAGTAATACAAGTACATTAACAAATGTTACTGTTATCAGTGACAGCAGCGAAATATGCGACAACCAAGAGTTTGACATCAACAACAACCACCTGATGAAAAGCAAATACATAAACAAGAAAAGCGAGGTCAAGGAAATAAATAAAAATATAACCTCGAAAAACAAAACCAACAGTTCGAACTTTAACCAAACTAACGAAAACGCACTGCCAGCTGATATAATTAGCAACAAAACAGACATCAAAAAGGAAAACACCGCAAACTGTGCAAAGAACATTGTGAACGTGAAACCTAACGAATGTTTCTTAAACAGCACGATAATTTCTTCAGACGATGATAGGACGTTGGGTTTGTGGAACGTGTCATCTAACGAATCAAAGAGAACGAAAAATGACGATGACAGCGAACATAGGATGATGTTGATGAGGGTGAATGCATTCGTTCAAGATAGAATGAAAATAATGGCATTAGAGAATAAATATATGGATCAACACGAGGTTATTCCTCAAAACAACTATCGCCAACAACAACGACTCCAGTTGCCACATTACAAAATCTATCCCAATCAACTGTACTACCCAGGCCAGCCACAACTTCTTTATCAATATCCTGGAAGACATTATCAATTTTGTCAAGATGACAATGCCATCAGTGCAGAAATCTGTCACCAATATGGAGCAAGAATAAAACCAGGTTTTGTTCCCAATGGAGTCAGCAGTTGTAACAACGCAAATGATGTGAACCTGAAAGAAATTTTAGAGAGACACAGCAATCCAAGATTTAAAGTTGCGACAGCCTGCAATGGACTAAAGAATCATCGCTCGAAACACAATAGGTCTCAATCAATTGATAACAACTTGCAAACTTTTAAGAGAAACGTCAACTTAATGAACGTCATCAGAAACAAAAATAATCTCATCAAAGACCACGCAAATCATAAATTGAATGTTTACCATGGCAACTTTCACGAATATTGCGAAAAATCTTCATATAATAAAGTTGGCCATAAAACCAGTCACCGAAACAAGCCCGACGGCCCAAACAACAACATCAACAACCCAACGAGAGCAGTAGTACGAACCAAGAAGATATCAAAAGACGTTCAACGCGTCTGCAGGTTTCTCAGAAGCGGCGGGAAACATCCGAGCCTCTGTTTGTCGCAATTAGGTGATGTTTAAAGATTTGCAAGATTTCTGAAATATTTGAATTTTTGGTTTCAAGGGAGTTTGAAAGAATTGGTATCGGTGTGTAAATAAATGTAAAAATTGTTTAGTAAACTTTATCATTTATTATTATTATTATTATATTATTATTATTATTATTATTATTATTATTATAACAATAATTTATTATTATGAAAATGCATTTTATTCAAATATTTGAAATCTTACCTTATTTCAATTAAATGATCATGAATAAAAATACTAAAAAAAAACAATTCAATCGTCTTTTTATCCTACTAATTAAACTCAGAAACCGTTCATATTGTATTAGTTAGTTTTTCAATACAATAAATTGTGGGAACCTTAATTGTAGAATTTATTGATTTTAGCTTCAGTAAAATCCGAATGCTACCAAGTACAACCTATGACTGGACAATGATGTGAAAATTTAGTATTTACATTTCATCTTGTGATTGGGACAAACCTTATCTAAATGATACATAGTTATTCACGTTTTGAAATATCAGCGAGATAAAAAAAAAGTTTAAAAAATGAAGACTTTTGCAATAATTTTTCAATTTTTGTTCTGCAGTCCACAATTTCCTCATTTCTACTCTAGCGAATGAACGACTGAAATTGTTTTCTCATAGCTATCCAATATTATTACTTACTCGTTGGAGAACAAAATTTAGAACGAGAAAACCACTAGAGTTTGAAAAATAATTTTATGAAGATTCTTATGAAGACATGTATAATCTCTAGTGAGATCATCATGAGAAAGATAGAAGATCTACCTGGAATATCCATTGAAAACGTGAATTCAAACAATGTAAGATATGCTGATGATACAGCTCTTATAGCAGATTCAATGGAAAAACTGCAAATAATTGTTTCCAAACTGGTTTCTGAAACTGAAAGGAAAGGCTTGCAAATTAACACCAACGAAACAGAGTGCATGGTTATCAGTTAAAGCAAAACCGCCCCGATCTGCTCCATAATCATTAATGGTTAACAGGTGAAACAAGTCAACAGCTTCAAATATTTTGGAAATCTGATTACCTCAGGGTGTAAATGTGATATGGATACCAAAAGAAAGATAGATATGGCAAAAATGCATTATCAAAAAAATGAAAAACATCCACACTCATAGAGACACACACACGCACACCCATACACGCGCACACACAAACATGTATGCTAGTAAAAGCAAAAAAATTTAATCACATTTTGAAATTATATTACATAAAGTATGAAAAAATTAAAATTTGTGCCGTCTTGAAAAACATTAGAGTGTAACAACATAAAATGTTTGTCTTGAGCTATCCCTTTCTACCAGCATACGTATTTTTCTTCATTTTTTCATTTAACCCTTAGATGCAGACTTGGTTATTCACGTTTGAGAGCCTACGGCTATCACATCCATCTTGATATCAACAATTTTTCTTCACAAAAAATTTTTCAAAATCTTTTGAAGTTTTTTTTACTTTCGTCAATTTTAATCAGACTAACATTTTTATTTTAATATTTTTTCTTAAAAGGTTTTTTGTTGTGGAAATAATTTATCTTTTCAATCTAAAGTAAGTAAAACCAAAAAAGTTCTTTCTTTATATCATAAACTTTTGCATAATCCTATTGGAATAACATTTCCAAAAAATTTTAAACTTTCAACAAAATATATATTTAAATTATTGCTAAACACATACAAATTTATTAATTTGATATTATTCAAAAGCATTTATTAACAAAAAAGAAAAATTTTGAAAAATATTGACGCCTTAAGGAAATTGTGTAAAGACGGAACAACCCAATTTTTAATGCAACTACATATTTGTCAACAAATTTTCAGAGTTTTTTAAATAAAATCAAAATGTAAAAAACTATCTTAAAAATATAATTCACCACACGGGAAGTTAAACACCATTGGAGATGAACTGAACCGAGAAGGTCAGAGGTCAAAGACCGGGTCATGTCTCATTTTGACCTTATAAAATCCATTTTGCGATCATTTTGACCTTATAAAATCCGACGTGCGAAAGTATCATGAGGTCAGTTTAATATTTGACCTGGATTATTTTTTTTTGTCATTCTAAAAAATTGGTCATTGATTTTCTGAAAAAAAGTAATTTTTTTGACAAAAAGTTATCGTTACCCATGTATAATCTTTAACTTTTTCTTGAATTTTGTTAACATTTAACATCCTCTTGTTAATAGTTGTCGAAAAATATTCGTACTTTAAATTATTTCAACAATTTTCTGCTTCAATAAACTCTTGTTTGTTTTTTTTTCTAGAAGTTATGAATGCTTTTTTAAAGGATTGAGACTGTAATTGAGATTGAAAGCAGCAGCTTTTTATAACTGCAAGCTGTTGTAACCCTTGAACTGCCTATGCAAATGCAAAACTACAAACTCTTCACATAAAATGTAATTAAAAATTGCACAAGTCAAACATTCACATCTACTGGTTGGTTGATCACAAAACATTGCAATCGTATTGCTTGTAAGTTTATAAACATTCTACATAACTACAAACGTTTCTAATGTTTCATTTTGGAAGTCAAATTGTGAACAAGTAGACTAAAGCGAGCGTGTTCTACTCACGATAAAAAGTTTTCGACTAACTAAACATTCATTTGTTTGTGTGCTTGCATGTAAAAATGCAGACCACCATACTGTTTCATTCTACTTCCTTCTTTGTCCTTTATTAAATTTTCTGATTTATATAGCTCGTACAATTTTTATGAAGAATTTTTTTGCCATGAAACGTGCAGTCTGGCTTTGTTGTTATTGTTATCCATGGGGCCATCACTCAAGTTGCACCCATTGTCAGAAGATGAATGGGCGTGAAAAATGAAGATTAAGAGCCATGTTGACATTGGTTCTTGATCTACTACAATTCTCACTACTACTACTATTACTACTGCTACCACTACTACTACTACTACTACTGCTGCTACTACTGCTACTACTACTACTACTTTAAGCGCAAGAAATCCATAGAGTATACAAAATATACAATACAAATAACATACATACAAGACACACACACAACACACACAACACACACACGAAACAACATCCACACAAACACACACACACATAAACACACACACACAAACATAAACACACACACACACATGCCCTATCAAACATAAGCCTAAATATGCCTGTCACATTGACCTGCATATGAAACAACTGAAAATTCCATCCTGACATATCAAATCAATAGCAAACGACCGACAAATTTTTTCGGCCAGCAATATCTGCAGCTCTACAGACAGGTGATATTTCTACCAGAAGGCATCTTTATGTGTATTTATTGAAAATTTTCAAAAGAGTTTCATCAAATTTTCTGTTTTCACTTCAAAAAAAAGTTAAGTCATTTATTTAATGATTTTCTTCACAAACTTAATTACTAATAATGTAGAAATGTTAGATTTTTAGGCCATTTAATAATTCAACCTTTTGTTTCGGAATTTTAGCATCTAATACACTTTTGCAACCAAAATAAATTAAAAAACACACACACACACAAACAAACACAAATACACACACACAAACAAACAGACGCACACAAACACGAACTTCTCTATTTAAATGTTTCTTTTCAAGAATGAAAGAATAAATGCAGTTATAAAGGTACAGACAGACGAAATGAAAAGCGCGTAACGAAAAATGGCATTCGCGCTTATTTTTAACCGTCTGGGTGTGGTGCTTTCTTGTTTATGAACATCGTTTGGTTCCACGACTTTTGTAAAATTTTTAAATTCCGTGTTTGCGATCATGAGAAGACCTGAAGAATTGTATATTGTATACGTCTACCAGACAGTAAGAACGCACACTGAATAAAGCAACATTTAAAAGGAATACGTTTAAAAAAATTTTGAAAACAACTTTTCAGCAGAAAATTTTAAACTTCATCCCATACCTCACATTTCAACAAAATTCCCAAATGGAACTTGAAACAAAAAGCCTTTCAAAGTTGATAGCAGATGCATGCAGCTCCACTAACAACAACAACAGCAACAAAAACAAAATCAACAACAACAAAAACAACAGCAACAAAAACAACAAAAATAATAACAACAAAAACAACAACAACATCAACAACAACAACGACAACAACAACAATAAAAAAAGCAGCAACAACAACACTTCCAACTAATTTTTTACATCCTAAACGCACGGCCATTCTCATATTTGTAACAATGTTGGCAACAGTAAATACAGTGAATATGAAACGAAGTCACAAAAACTTCGAAAATAAATAACGTCAACTGAAGCAGAATTTGAAGATGCATCGAGGCCTATGCAATATTGTTGAATCAACAAAACCAACACTAGGGAGTTTTACAATCGGAATTGCGTTGATAGTTAAATGCAATTAAAATCATTTTGAACCATGTGGAGAATTTTTTTTACTGATTTAATTTGTTTTTATGAATTATTTTTTTTAAATTTTTACATATTACTATATGACATTGTGAAAAATTTGTTAGAATCATTTGTCATTAACCGACCAAATGGTTTCCAATGCGAAGAAAAACATGTCATGCGCTGTTAAAATTCTTCAAGACGAAATAGTCTTGAGGTAAAGTTGGAAAAAAATTACAGATTTAAAAATTTAAAATATGAAAATTTAAAGATAAACCATTCACAGCACATAAATCTGTGGTAAAATGTGGAGGCGTTCATGGTTTCCGGCACTGCACTGGTGTAGCTGTGACTGGGTTCGAATGCAAAGATATTCCCAACAATCACATGCAAAAGGAGTGATGAGTACATTGCTATTAATACTTCCAAAGATTCACTGAAGAAATAATTCTTTAAAAATATGGAACCGCCTGGTCTCTAGAAACGTTTCTGTTTAAAAAATTTTGTACTTGAGATAAAATTATTCCCCATACAAAAATATTAAACTTGTATAGTCTAGAGACTGACTAATCTAGACACAGTGCAACCAACACGCCGTATTGTCTGTTGATACTTCAACGAAGGGTACATGTATAGTCTATAGA